TGGCTATACTGGAGCTCCAAGAAAAAGGCGAAATACAGATGATATACGACAAGTGGTGGAAGAGTCCGGGCCTCACCTGTATCCGGGATGAGCTCAATAAGGAGGGGAAAGCCTCACCATTAGGGCTTGAGAATATTGGGGGCGTTTTCGTGGTACTCCTACTGGGCCTGGCGTTGGCATTATTCACAGCGATGTCCGAGTTCTTCATCAAAGCCAAGAAAAACGCACAAAAATCTAGAGTAAGTGCCCCGAAAGGGGTCATTCAATAAGCATGTACGCAAATGTGTACCTCTAGCTAATCTATAGTAGATAAAAGTTTTATAATAAATTGGGTATGTTTAACCTAACCTAACCCAGTACCAAATCACATGTGTACGTACGTATTGAATGTACCCTAAAATATAGATGGATATGTCTGTGTGGGTATCCCGAGAGGGTTGGCACACAAATATTTTTGAAGATAAAAAAATTTAATTTAATTTTCTGTTGAGTTTTTTATTTGTTTTATGTTTTCTCAAACCAATCGTTACGTAAAGTTTTGGAAAACAATTTTTGTTTGTTTTTAGAAAAAACTACTGTTTATTGAGTTTTTTCAATTGACTTTATGTTTTTTGAGTTAATTTTATTTTTTAAGTAAGAATATTCTTATGGGTCATTCAATGACATACGTACCCACGCACGGGATAGGGAGTGGGTTAACCATAGCTAGCTACAGATTATGTTAAAGTATTATTTATTACGGAGTTATTTAGGGGAAGGTGTGTAAAATATTGTGCGTACGTACCATATGGATGATCCCTTACGGGTATTCCGTATATACATTGGATTTTTACAGAATATTCTTTAAATTCCGTGTAATATAGCAATCGATTTGTACGGAAATGCACGACGAGTTAGGCTTCATCATGAAGTGCGAGTACACGCGGCCTAAGCCGGGGACGGCCGGCCTACGGAGGTATTGCTCAAAATGTCACTTCAACTCATCGTTCATCACCACATCCCTGGCCGTACCCCACGATAATGGGGTGATGTCTGGGCTGGACTTTCGGAAGTCCCCACAAATGGGCTGCGAATACGACAGCTCTTAATATATTGATTAATAATTGTGAATAATATTTATTATTTTAGCATGGTACTATATATATATATATATTTGTATATATATGGCGAACAGAGGGGAATAGAAAGGAATTTTATATATAATTGTTAAGAATATTCTTGATTTTTATTTGTTATATATTATATATGGATGTTATTTATAAGTATAAAAATGATCATTGATCTTTTTTGTTATGAACATGTTTTTATTTATATGTTTTTTGTTAATTGAATTTTTTTGGCTAATCATCAAGCAACTTTTTTGTATATAAGATATCAAATCATTTGGAAAAAATTCATTCAATTGTAAAATATACGATTATTATTATCTCAATGCAACAAATTATAAATGCTTTTATTCTTATCATGCTAAAATTGCTATAATTTTTACAAAACAAAAATGATTAAATAAAACTCTAAATGTGTATCAAAATGATCCTGATACTTTTTATTTATAAATATTTAGCATAAGTAAAAATATTCATGATAAATTACTTATTATTGTATATTTACTTAAAACCTGTAATAAGTGCAATTATAACTGTCTAATATCTTAGTAATATTACTCAGTTTAGTATTAGCCTGGTATAATTCACTAAAAATCACCGAGCTAATTCAAAAATATGCTTTAAAATCACGAAATCATTGCATTCAATGGTTAAGAGGTATTGAATATTAGCGCCAATTCTGGTATCGATTCCGGAGTTCACTGACACTCACACTCATAGATAGCGCTCATAAGCAGCGCTAATAACATGTGTTTCGCATAAACACTGCATTTGAGTGTCAAATGAGTGCAGTATTTGAATGAGTGTTGCAGTGATTGACCACGCATTGGACGCCTCAAGACATCTCCAGACATCACCACTCAAGACATACCACCGCCAGACATGTCCACCAAATCCCGCCCACTCACTGATGGTACGTATGCTCTGTTGACACCATTAACCTGTGGTTCCGATACGCGGGGATCAGGTGTCGGACACCGGGTATCACTGGGTGATTGGTCACCGGTTTAGATGATAGTATGATCTCAAGCGTGGATCTAATGGTCAGTTGTCTTACGAATTGGCAGATGAGGTGATGAGACGTAAGCTGACTCTCGATGGCGACGGTATGGGCGACGACCGGAAGATTAATCTCGTCTTAAAGGCGTTCATCACGTGGTGTCACAATCGCGACGACTCGCCAGCGATGAGGTACTGATCCCATGGACTCTCCAGACGTCCGGTGATTATCACCCATTGGGTGGGCCGTGGAGTTGAACTACTCATGAGTTGTTAGGCTATCAGTTGTTATGAATTGTTTGTCTGTTTATGAAGTGTTTGTAAACTTCTTGTCATTAGTGTTAAGGTGTCTGTAAAATAGGGATCACTTTAACAGTGCCATCGGTTGTGANGTACCTCATCGCTGGCGAGTCGTCGCGATTGTGACACCACGTGATGAACGCCTTTAAGACGAGATTAATCTTCCGGTCGTCGCCCATACCGTCGCCATCGAGAGTCAGCTTACGTCTCATCACCTCATCTGCCAATTCGTAAGACAACTGACCATTAGATCCACGCTTGAGATCATACTATCATATAAACCGGTGGCCAATCACCCGGTGATACCGATGTCTGACACATGATCCCCGCGTATCGGAACCACAGGTAATGGTGTCCACAGAGCGTACGTACCATCAGTGAGTGGGCGGGCTTTGGTGGACATGTCTGGCGGTGGTATGTCTTGAGTGGTGATGTCTGGAGATATCTCGAGGCGTCCAATGCGTGGAATGAGTGGCCAATCACTGCAACACTCATTTGACACTCAAATGCAGTGTTTATGCGAAACACATGTTATTAGCGCTGCTTATTAGCGCTATCTATGAGTGTAAGAGTCAGTGAACTCTGGAATCGATACCAGAATTGGCGTTAATATTCAATACCTCTTAACCATTGAATACAATGATTTCGTGATTTTAAAGCATATTTTTGAATTAGCTCGGTGATTTTTAGTGAATTATACCAGGCTAATACTAAACTGAGTAATATTACTAAGATATTAGACAGTTATAAGTTATAATTGCACTTATTACAGGTTTTAAGTAAATATACAATAATAAGTTATTTATCATGAATATTTTTACTTATGCTAAATATTTATAAATAAAAAGAATCAGGATCATTTTGATACACATTTAGAGTTTTATTTAATCATTTTTGTTTTGTAAAAATTATAGCAATTTTAGCATGATAAGAATAAAAGCATTTATAATTTGTTGCATTGAGATAATAATAATCATATATTTTACAATTGAATGAATTTTTTCCAAATGATTTGATATCTTATATACAAAAAAGTTGCTTGATGATTAGCCAAAAAATTCAATTAACAAAAAACATATAAATAAAAACATGTTCATAACAAAAAAGATCAATGATCATTTTTGTACTTATAAATAACATCCATATATAATATATAGCAAATAAAAATCAAGAATATTCTTAACAATTATATATAAAATTCCTTTCTATTCCCCTCTGTTCGCCATATATATACAAATATATATATATAGTACCATGCTAAAATAATAAATATTATTCACAATTATTAATCAATATATTAAGAGCTGTCGTATTCGCAGCCCATTTGGGGAGACTTCCGAAAGTCCAGCCCAGACATCACCCCATTATCGTGGGGTACGGCCAGGGATGTGGTGATGAACGATGAGTTGAAGTGACATTTTGAGCAATACCTCCGTAGGCCGGCCGTCCCCGGCTTAG